CCAGAAACTACTTGCCTACGCTTCAGACTAGGCAGAAGTGGCATAAAGCTTCAGAAAACCTGGAGGTCGACTCCGTTGTACTGATTGTGGATCCGCAACTCCCAAGAGCTCAGTGGCCCATAGGCAGAGTTCGGAAGACATTGCCAGGCAGTGACGGATGTGTGCGAACTGTTGAAGTTGTCATTGACGGTAAAGTTTACATTAGACCAGTTGCGCGCTTGATACAGTTGCCTGCTCTAGAAGGTAACACTAAAGACAGTTAGAGAATTCTCTTGATAACCCATTTGCTGCTCAATTGTGGGGGCGGCTGTTGTGAATTCTCTCCCTTTAAGTGTTAAGTTGACTGTGTGTGACGTTTTAAGTTTTTGCCTAGTTAATTGCCTATTCACTAAGCTACTTAAGTTGAGCGATCATATCGCGTGAACACGTTCACATGTTCAGTGTTTATGTGCAAGATAAAGTTTGTGACAAAGTAAGTTTTCCTTCTAAGTATATTGTTAATAACGCAGATTGTTACACTGTATCCCAACTGCACTAAGTTAGACCATGTTTGTGATGTAGTTGATGTTTAGCGATCTTTCTAAGTGTAATTTGATCCTGCTTAACGAGCGGATTAGCCCGCTAGCATCGCGGCTCGTATTGTTCATGTTTAGTTATTACCTTTAAGTGCATTTCTCCGTGGTATAATATCCTTCACTGGTTGTAAATTATTACTGCCTGTATTAATAAGACTGTTTCAGTGCACTATGCAGTTTGTTATTGCAGACTCATACTAATATATTTCTACATTTATATTTCATGTATCAGTGCACTTTACAGATATGTTTATATTTGGCTTTGCAATCTCTTAAGGTGTTGAATATGTTTAGGCAGTGAGTATTTATCTCTGTTATATTATTTATTTCAGAAACTACCTCAAGTACACTATTATGTGTATGGTCACTCTTGTGCAATAAACAGCTAAACTCTATCTGATGACTCCGACTCCCTGACCAGAGTTCTGCAGCGGTCAATAATATAATCCACCAGTTTTCAGTGGGGCAATCCCCAACAAATGTTATTAATATTAAAACAGTTTTTGGCTAAGATAAATTGTGATTGGGGTTTACCTGAGCTTATACTGCCTTACCGTATTCACAGCGATTCGAAATGCAATTTTAATTATGTTATTATGGAAATTGATATATGAAATTCTTCCCATCCCATACATGAAAAAATACATGACGTGTTGGTGATTTATTATATATAGGCTAAGGCTATATATTAAAAGTCTTACATAGGCTATATGAAATAAAATGACACAACCCTGTCTCTTTTTGTTAAATTTCAGTTTTATTGATCAATAATAGCCATTATTAAATTATAAGTCGCCTAAAAAGTATAAGAAGCTATATAAGTCAAGAAATAAAGCAAGTTAAAAGATTCAGTCAAACATAAGTCACCAGGCTAACGTTACAACGTACAGTTAAATAGCATAATATATAAAGTTATGAAACTTCACTTTGCCCTCAGCCAAAACGATTTGCCAGGGAACAAATCATACATTAATGAGACCAAAGATCGCCCGTTAGATATACACAAGCCGATTTATAGCTCATGTTTAACCACTAGACACAGAGCCCGCGGGAAACGGCAGAATGACTAGCCGAGGTAAGGCTGTTCCAGGCGGGGTACATGAGCGCTGTGCGCCCGCTGATCCCTGGAACTCCGAAAAAGTCAGATCAAAATTTTAAATAGGCGCTATCTTTATAAACAAACCACAGATTTGAGCTTTAAACAACTATATTCTCGACTGAAAAACTCTTAAAACTACATTTCGTGACACAATAACACTAATATTTTTAAATTTCGCGGCCTTGAAAAACACTTCACCATACCGGCTTCCTTTATCTTCGGAGTTTCTCCCCCATTGGTTAGCTGTTCGGAACGTCACAACACTACAAGGATTCTGGGTAATATCCCACAGCAAAGTGAGGTCTGATGCGCACTTGCGAAAGGGGTGCATTAAGTGCCCTTATGATCACCCCTGGAGAACACTATTAGAGGATCGGGACAACCTACGGTCTTGCACCCCTTAGCGAGAACGCGCATTGAGGGGCACAAGGGCGCAAGTGCGGATATTGGGACAGGGCATAAGATGATATCATCGTGCTATTCATGATGCGGCTAATTGGGTTCTTCGAGCACACCTGTTGTTTATGATTAGTATCGCTGGATTGAGTTATCTGAGATAATTGCGCGTTCATGCGCTGGGTTAAAAGGGGTTATCGATAGCAGAAACATTGATCAGCAACGCTGCTATTGGCTGCTCACCGTGGCCAAAGAGCGCACTCAGTTTTACTCTGCAGCAGAGCAAGAGCTATTGCTAGAAGGTTATGCTGAATTTGAAAACTTAATTACAAATTGTCACCTAAAATGTGCAAAGCCAGGAGAGAGGGCTGGCAAAAAGTAGCAAATTACAAGTTTGTAGTGACCATTTAGATGTTTTTATCACTTTTTATTAATAATTAATAATTATTACAGTATATATTTTTTTTATTTGAATAATTTCTAAATAATTAATAACTTTGTTCATTGTAATGTCAGTCACCACCCACTACTAGAACATGGGAACAAGTAAAAGTGAAGTACTAGAATATTCTACATAATGGTAATTTGTACTATAGGCTACTATAGTCTCTTTTAAAAAGGCACTGTTAATAAATGTTTGCTTGTTTATAAAAGCAACCAAGAAAAAGGCTGAGAAAAAAAGAAAAGAAAAACAAACAGGTGGTGGTCCTGCACCCCCACATTATACCCCGGCAGAAGAGCTGACCCTTGGGTTAAATGTGAACCGACCCGTCCTGGGTTCAGCTCTTCCTCAGACACACAGCAGGGACCAGTAGCAGCAACTCCTTCATTACTGGTAAATGAACTTTAAATGATCTTACACTGTAAAATATGTTTTTGCTGCACTATAGGCCTATAATCCCAATGGCTGGTCCAGTCATATCAACTGTTAAACCTTGAGTAGGCCTAGTGATGAATTGCTTACTTGTGAAAGTGTGCATGTGTGAAACTACATGTAGTTAATGTAAAAAAATATGTTGCCATGAGTTATTGATCACATTTCCCCCCAGTGTACTTCATTGTAATGAAATTGTGTTTTCCTCTTTTGTGCAGTTTTAAACACCAACACATTTATCTGTTCCAAGTGGCTGATCCATGTGCAGTAAGTGGACTTTTCCAAACTTTACATCAAAAGGAAAAAAAGTACAACACTTTGTAATGCCCATTTCCCCCCCAATGCACAGGACAGTGAAGAAACTCTCTCAGATGACTGTCTTTTGGAGAAAGTATCTTTAAATAACTTTACTTCATTTACACTTGAGTACCTATTATTTCTGAATGCAACGTGTGTTGCAGGAGTCCACATCTACAGAAAGGCCTACAGAAGAGTCTACACAAAGCAGTTATACAGAGGTGGGCAGTGTATACTTTTCCTTTTATTTTTTGTTGCATAAGGCTTGTGTTGACAGGTTTAACCCAAGCCCCCCTGCCCCTAGAAAATAAAGTATTTTGGGGGGGAAAACTTGACAACTTAAAGAAGAAAAAAAAACTGGCACTATAGAGTTAGAGATAGAGTTGCTTCAAAGGAACTTCAGAGTAAGTGCTAATATATTATTTCACACACAGTACTATTGCTGACCTTGCATAGTATCTCTTATTGCAGGCAAAATATGACTTGATCACTGGCTTTTCTTTACAAAGAACAATTTAAATAAAAATTCAAAGAACTAAGCATATTTGTCTTGTCTTTTACTAAACATTTAATGAAATGTTTTATATTTTTGCTGATGGTGGAAATGTTGTGTAATATTGCACATGTAATGTCACAGGCCCTGTCAGGTGTAACCCTTAAGACTTTTCAGACACTGAAATCTTCCCTTTAGTTGGCCAAAGTTCATTTCATTGTGTGACCTTGTCCTGGCTAGAGCTGCATTGTAACTGTGTATGAGTGAGCTTGATATTGATACCATGTTCAAGTAATGTGCATAAATGTGAATCTCTGTGCTTCCACATTTGTGATATGGAACAGTCACACACCATCTAGAGATTTTAGTCTGTCAACTGTCTTTTTTTAAATTTGATATATTACTAATCTGGAATATTAAGAATTGTAATAGTAACTTGGCTGCACATTTACATTGTGATCCCCCTTTCTATTCACAAAATCCCCTTCATAGAGGCCTTGATGGGAACATGTGTGCAGTCTATTGACCAATCACATTAGTGAAGCCTGAGGGACATATCTGTGTCATATTAATCGGCATGTTCATGATTGCATGATCTTCATTAAAAATTATAATACCTGCGTTGGCTAAACATGCTATAGCCTACAACCTTGGGTCTAAACTGGCTTGGAAATGCCACATAAAAACACCCTAAAAACTGCTTGAGCGCCAGGGTAAACTTTGTGAATGACACGATCAGACAGCACTTATCAAGTTCTCCGCATCTCCAATAGTTTAAAGGAAAGAGCCACTCGCAAATAATATCAGGACAATGCACACAGTTTGTGCTGTTATTAAAGGCCGACTCCGACGAGTCGAACAATTAATGTGCGTTTCCAAAAATAATTGATGTAAATGACATCCTCACGAGTCATGAGAAAAATTATATCTCTCAAAAAGTACACTATCGCGCTGCGTTAAAAGACTTCTCGCATCACCTCCGCTTATAAAGGCGCGATCTAATCCTGTTTACATGAAATAAGCTGCTCATGAGCAGGTTCAAGCTAGCGCACCTGTTGCTATGACAGCAAGTCTAGGTTGAGCTTCGAAGAACCAAACGATCCAAGATCATGCCAAATCGTCAACAATCAAATCCAGCTAACTGAGTTAGCGACGTACGAAGAACGAGCCCCAGTTGTCATTTTCTGCAATAAATGCTCTAAATGACAATTGTTTTATTTGAAATTTGGAAGAAATGCTGCCCTCCAGTGGCGCTCGCGAGACATGCGCCCGCGAGACGTCATCAGCGCGCGCCGCGGGCACGAGGAGCAGCGCATGTGTGTGTGAGTTGACGCGTGTGTGTGAGGGAGATCAGTGGCAGCACGTGAAGATCAACACACACAGAAATGGCACCGATACAAGCAGCAGAAATCATCTTCGCACAGAAGCTCGCGTCCAACGAGAAGCCCGAGAGGAGCAAAGCCTTGCTGAAGCTGAGGAAGTACATCCGTGTGCGCTCGGGGAGAGCCCAGGGTACACACACACTCTTATCACACACACGCTGATATCTCACACACACACTCTTATACACACACTCTTACATCAGACTCATTATACATACACACTCTTACATCAGACTCATTATATACACACTCTTATACTACACTCATTATACACACACTCTTACATCAGACTCATTATACATACACACTCTTACATCAGACTCATTATACATACACACTCTTACATCAGACTCATTATATACACACTCTTATACTACACTCATTATACACACACTCTTACATCAGACTCATTATACATACACACTCTTACATCAGACTCATTATACATACACACTCTTACATCAGACTCATTATATACACACTCTTATACTACACTCATTATACACACACTCTTATATACACACACACACACACACTTATATCACACTAGTTATACACACACTCTTATATCATACACTCTTACATCAAACTCATTATATACACACTCTTGTTATACACTCATTATACACACACTCTTATATCACACTCGTTATAAGTTACTCACACTCTTATACACACACACACTTGTATCACACTAGTTATAAGTTACACACACACTCTTATACACACTAACCTCTTATATCAGACTCATTATACACACACACACACACACACACACACACACAGACATGGCAGTAGATGTGTGTCTCTGCACTCCAGCGAGTGTGTGTTCAGTGGTCTGTGTGTTTCAGGGGGTTTTGGTGAGGATGAGCTGATGAAGATCTGGAAGGGTTTGTTCTACTGTGTGTGGATGCAGGACATGCCGCTTCTACAGGTGAGGATCACACACACACACGAACGCACGCACAGTGTCACACACACACACACACTCATGACCTGTTGTTCGTGTGTTCAGGAGGAACTGTCCACTAAGATCTCCAGGCTCCTCCACAGCTTTCAGACCCTCGACAGCCGTAAGTCTAACAAACCCACGAGATCATCCACTTCTGTCCTCAAGCATACACACTCACACTCACACACACACACACACACACACACACACACAGCTTGAGAACAGATGGTCATGTGACCCTGTGCTGGTTCAGAGAGAGCTTCAGTCAGACTGACACTGGATTCAGTGCGACTGATGCAGAGTAACTACTGTAGCCTGGACTGATGGATGTGTGTGTGTGTGTGTGTGTGTGTGTGTGTGTGTGTGTGTGTGTGTGTAACCCTCTCTCTCTCCGCAGAGCTGCTGTTCTTCAAGGCGTTCCTGCAGACCATGAAGAGAGAGTGGACCGGCATCGACCGGCTCCGCATGGACAAGTTCTTCCAGGTCAGAGCCGTCTCTATCCAGCGCTCCTGCTCACACTGCAGCTGTGTGTGTGTGTCATAACCAGCCAGTGTGTGTGTGTCATAACCAGCCAGTGTGTGTGTGTCATAACCAGCCAGTGTGTGTGAACTCAACATCAGCCAGTGTGTGTGAACTCAACATCAGCCAGTGTGTGTGAACTCAACATCAGCCAGTGTGTGTGAACTCAACATCAGCCAGTGTGTGTGTGTGTGTGTGTGAACTCAACATCAGCCAGTGTGTGTGTGTGTGTGTGTGTGAACTCAACATCAGCCAGTGTGTGTGAACTCAACATCAGCCAGTGTGTGTGAACTCAACATCAGCCAGTGTGTGTGTGTGTGTGTCATAACCAGCCAGTGTGTGTGAACTCAACATCAGCCAGTGTGTGTCTTAACCAGCCAGTGTGTGTGTGTGTCATAACCAGCCAGTGTGTGTGTGTGAACTGAACATGTGTGTGTTGTCTCGTTAGCTGGTCCGCTTCGTGTTCCGGGAAGTGTTCGAGATGCTGAAGAGACGCCAGTGGGAGTCCAGGTAACCAAGGTCTACTATAACACACATTTTGGCAAAATTTGGATGAATAAATCAAAAGTAGGGCTGTACACTTAATCACACGATGACAAGAGCTGCACGATTCTCGACTCACACACACACTCGATCTGATTGACAGCGACTCGGATCTGTGTTCTGATCCAGAGAGAGCCGTCGTCATGAATATGAAACGGCCTTTTTCAACACACAGTATCATTATTTCTCTTACGATAATTCATATGATCACAGAAGTGCTGGATTTAAGTTTATAGTTCAGATATAAACACTGATGTCTACAGTAGTGATCAGAAGAGCAAATCACCGTTTTGAAAGAAACTTGAGGCTTGATTGTCTCATTACATCGTTACACCAGTAGGTGGCGACAAGTGACCGTTAAATTAGTGTTTGCCACTGAATCATTCGTCCGAGAGATTCGTTCACGAACGCTGGTTGATCCAGTAATGGCGGTATGACATCACTGCACCGCGAGTGATGTCATGCGTGACTGATGTCATACGCCGCTCATGACACAAGTGAAGTGAGTCATTGAATCATTCATTCAATTCTATTAAAAAATGAATTCGATATTCGTTTTAAAATAGACTAGCAATTAACATCTCGCAGAATCTCTAGTAAATCATGTTAGTTTGTTTGGTTGTCTGTTCAGAATTGTTGGAAAATATGTCTGTTATAATAATAATATCTCTATCTCTATATATTTATATCTTGAATATCTCTATATTAAACAAAAATCATGATTTATCCAGAATTGTGCAGCTGTGACAACGCTATTATGCCCTTTTACGAAGGTTTGATTTTGTTTTTGGGGTGTACTAGAATGTTTTCATGCTTGATTGTTAAAAAAACGCATTATTTTTCAACATTTTCGGTGAAGCCCCTCCTCCAGAAATAGGAAATGTGCTGTGATTGGTTAGCTGGTGCAGTGTGCTGTGATTGGCTGTGTTTAGCATGCGTTCGGGAAATGTCCCGCCCCTTCATAACCGCAATCTCTACTCGGATGTAAATATTAACAACGGCGTCAATTTCAAACCGCTTTGAGTCTGATTCAGACCCTGACAATGTTAACGAACGAGCATTTCACAGGACGTTTCAGAGTGGGTGTTTTTGTTGTAATTTTCTTATAGATACGATGTTATCCACCATTGAATCATATTTGTCGGAAAACTATGGTAATACAAACACAGTAATCGATCACAGAAACATGGGTAATTTTCCTAAGGGGCGGTGAACCAGAAGCTCCAGTAAACACTACATCAATACTGGAACGCTAGTTAGCAGGCTCGCGGAGGCAAAGCTCTACATCATAGCAACTACATAAAGCTTATAATAGGAACTTTTAATAGAACACACAACTACAAATAAGGCATGGTAACAAGTTGCGATCCATAAACCACAGATTTTCCCGACAGCTGGGAATGGCTCCGTCTTTTAGGAGAAGGATTGCGGATATAGCCACAAAAGGATTGTGATATGATTTTTTGTCCATATCGCACAGCCCTACATTGATGTGTGTGTGTTGCAGTGTGCTGGCCGAGTTCCTGCAGCTGTTCTCGGCTCAGCTCCTGCACGGCTCCGGCTCGGCTCCGGCTGGGCTCGTCCTGCATGTGCTGGACCTCTACACCGCTGAGCTGGCCCGCGTCGGCTCCGCACAGGTAACGCCTGCCGGCCCGAAGTATGAGTCTTACTCTTCACATCTTTCATGGGGTTTCATCTCCGTTTGTAATAGTGACGCATGTACTCCTCTTCATAAAGTACCTAATCATTTATCGTCATTTAACTTCCCTCATGTTTTAATCCTATTAGTTCGTCTTCAGAACACAGATATTTTTAAGAATCTCGTTTTTGTCCAATATCTATTGAAAGATCTAACAAAAATCATATTAATGGAGCGGTTTAATCTTTAAGTCTTCACTTGTTTGCTTTATATGATCAATAGATTTAATTTGGGCCTTTATTCACATATGAACATTGATCACTGAACATGATAATCCTAATCCCGCTTTACACGCGAGGGTCAGTGAGGTTTGTTCTCGGTACACCGGCACGTCTGAGCTTCCAAAGTAACTAGATATATCGGTCACCATGTTAGTATCGTTCATATTTAATGTTACCGTTATTGGCCCGAAAAGAAAATATGGCTGATATATAGATAAAGGATTATTTCCTTCAGATGGATCTGAATTGCTTGAAATATGATTGGAATCACTTCAAAAAAGGAAAATGCAGTAAAGTGCAACATTAGAGCGCAAGTCTGTCATATCAGCTACATGAACTCATAATGAGAACATTAAAATTGTGTGCTTGGCACATGGCTTTTAATGGTGAGACTTTTTTTAAAATAAATATAATGAAGTGATAATGATAATGAATAACAGAAATGGCCTCCATGATTTTGACCCTAAACTCATCTTTAGTGTCGAGCTAGAGTAAAGGGCTGCTTTCCCTGCTCTATAAGCATGTAATTGTGTCTATTCCAATTCATTGTAGAAATATATTTAAATAGTGCCTAGAATTTGACAGATTTATTCAATATTTACCGCATCATTTAGAGGTCAAGTTGTTATTGTAGCTGACCATCAAGTTTATGGTCATTGAATGGCTTTTCTGAGGGAAATGTGGCGTTCTCATATTGACGTCTAATTGATGGATTACATGAGACATGATTGATTTCAGTTGGTTCTGTATCTTTCATCATTCTTTCTGATGATGTTTATTTGCTGCTGTGATAAGAGTAAGAGATGATCAGTTCATCTGTCACACAAAACTTAGTCTTATGTCTAACAACCCAGAGATTTAAATGCGTGTCATTGTCCTCATGTTTGTGTACGAGTGTCTGATCTCTGATGTCCTCCTCCAGCTGACAGCCGAGCAGAACCTGACCTTCATCGAGCCGTTCTGCAAGTCCATGGCCAAGACCAAAGAGTACGCCCTTCAGTGCCTCCTCCAGCTGATATACATGCACAAATACACACTTTCATGCCATGTTTGATCATCTTTCCTCTTTCTTCCCTGCTCTTCAGTCGGGTCCTGCTGAAGGCCATCGGCAGCAATGTGTTCGACACCATTGTAGATCAGGTTCCTTTCGCCATCGAGGATCTTCTCCGGGAGATTCGTCAGGCTAAAGGGGAAGAGCTGGACGCTAGTGGCGGATCTGAGACCAGCACAGAGCGGAAGACTAAACCCCGCTCTAAGAAGAGAACCGAGGATGCGCAGGATAACGGTGGGTAGATCGGCTACACATGATCACTTCTGAGTCCACTGCAAAAACTAATTACCACATTTTCCAGCATAAGGCGCACCAGGTCTAAATTATATTATTGAGAGAGAGAAAAAGTCGTATTGGTGTAAGCAATAATAAAACGTTTACAAACTCCATAAATAAAATCCGTTTATCAAACACAAAACTTCAAACCCATCGATGCCACTGTTCATTCTTGAAATGGGCTTTAGCTTGTATGTTGATGTGATCCACTGGTTTGGGCTGCCTCCTTGAACTTAAGAGAATGACGCGTCTGGCATGAAATACTTTTACTTTAACGCAGTCTGTCTTGTCTATCTCTTTGAGAAGACATCAAACAATCTGTCTAGAGATTTTCTTAAAAGATTCAAAAGACTGTTCAGTGTATATTGGGTTTAAGGGACGCATGTAGAAGGAGAGCCACAGCGGACCTAAGACTGAGCCTTGAGGCACTCCATACTTCTCTTGTGTTAGATTTCACAGTTCAGTTATCATGGTGACAGGCTAAATCAGATCGCTTCATCTGTTGCCGACATAAAGTTTAAACTTTTTTTTAGACCTTATGTATAAGGGTGTGTGCTTTTCCAAATTAAGGGTTAGTCACTTGATTTTGCCACAGGCGGACTCCAATGAAGTGTAGAAATATATCAAAGTTGATGCAGAGGAATAGTGTCATAGTGTAGGGTCAGTTTTCAAAGCAACGCTAACGCACAACATCTCAGTGTCTTAAAGTTGAATCATTTAGCTTTGAATTTTTTCCCTTTGCACTTAAACCAGTTGTTACTCTGGCTACGTTTACATGCAACCAAATAATCCGTTAGTAGTGGGACTGACGGCTCAATCGCACTGACAGCCTTCCTGTAAACGCCCTAATCGATCTGATTGAGCTCGATCCCAATGAAACTTCGATCGGACTGAAAGGGGCGGTTTATTCCTTTTATAATCGATCGAGAGAACATGTAAACGCTTGATCGGATTGAAAACCAAAACTGAAAGGACTGCGCATGTGCAATGACGTATGACAGGCCGAGCTGTTCTTCCTGTTGAATAAAGTGTCGTCTAATCCTCTGTGTGTGTGAAGTGGAGCAAGTCAACGGCCACCAGTGCCGCTTCAGACTCACACACACACACACACACACACCACTGGGATTGGGCATTTCTACTGCGTGATCAATATAAGCAGCGGCTCATATGATCACTGTCTCTAAATTATGACCAGAAATGGATAAATATTAAGTCTGTTGTTTAAAACAAATAAAAACCCAGAGTATGAGAATAGTTATGATGCGTAAACAGCAGAAAATCTGTATATTTGTGCAGTGAGCTCATGTCAAAAAATATATTCAGATTTGAAGCTTGTGACATAACACACACATCAACCGATCACATGTTCAGCGTTCGTAAACACTACAATCGGATTCATCAATCGGAATGAATTGTCCGATAGAAACAAAAGTTGTGCATGTAAACGCAGCCGTGTCATTTTTATGGTCTCGGTGGATTTGGGGAAAGAAAAGATGAATGAACAAAAAATAAATGATTTGTAGTTGTCATTTAATGTAAATGTTGTTTTTGTTGACTGCCAGATTCTGAGGAGGACTGCGATGAAGACATGTTTTCAATTCCAGGCAACATGGATAGTAAGAGTGACTATGCGTGTGGACCAGTTCTCCAGGTGTGTTTCCTAGACTTTTCTGATGGTGTTTTGATTTTAACGTTCTTCTACAAGGATTATATTTGATTGCATAAGGAATGAGAACGTGTTGAAAGTATCGCGTTCCCTGCCGTAGTGACCCCACCTGTGCTGTGATTGTAGTTTATCCTAGCAGATGATCTAGAACAGCCTTTCTCAAACTTTTTTCAGTCGGGGCACCTTTCAAAAGTGCATAAAATCTCAAGGCACCCCAGTGTAAAATATAAATTAAAAACACTGCATAACCCAAATGTAAATGCAAATGTCCTGTTTATTTAGACAGAACAGTAATGAACAGAGCATAATACGAACTGTAAATAACAATAACAATAATAATAACAACTTTACAGGGCTATCACTTTTGTGAAAAAATCCTGATCGATTTTTGAGACATAAACGGTCATTGAATCGATTGTAAAATCGATTTTCCATGTCTAAAGACGTTTCCATTTTCAGCGCAAAATATAGGCAAATCCACGGACAACTAACAGGCATTAGCACGAGCGTAAAGAGTGCGCTTGAGACGCGCACAAGTCAGCAATATTTCTGATGATTTATTGGCATGAAGTTTCGTGCACAATGACAAACAGGAGTGCAAGATTCTCGAAAAACAATAAGCAGAGTGGACTGCCATAACATCAATGAAAAACATTACTGCAGGCTTCAACATGGCTGTGTTTACGATTAGAAATGTCAAACAAATTTCGCCTATGTAGGCGATTGTAGGCCGGATCTGTATCTGTATGCATGGGACTGTCTGAATACCGGCAGAATTCACATTTTTGTTGTAAAAAGAGACACGTTATGCAGAAGTATAGTATAGTTTGTATGTGTGTTTGTCAGAGCCTGCAGTTGCTGTGTGACGCGCGTTCGCTGTTGTTGCTATAACGCGGTGCTATGGGTTGCGTCACTTGCGTCAAGTTGTGTGTGTGTCTTGCTTCGGTCTTGTGAGACGGATTTTTATGGTTAATTTTATATATATATATATATATTTATCTAAAATGAATTTACAATTTTATTAATACGTTCATATGTTTAAAAAGAAGAAGAATGTATTTATGTAAATTCAAATATATATATATATATATATTTTTAGCCTACGTAATTTTTTGGCGGCACCCCTGACAAAGTCAGGGGGCACCCCAGTGTGCCGCGGCACCCACTTTGAGAAAGGCTGATCTAGAAAACACTGCTTTCAGAGGTTGTTTGTCTGTGTGTGTGTAATTGGTGTTTTGTCTTGTACAGTTCGACTATGGTGCAATAGCTGACAAACTTTTCGAGGTGGCCAGTAACTCAAACATACCAAGCTTTAACCGATCCAAGATTTACAAGTTTGTCAAAATGTAAGTAGTTTCACATTGAGACAGAGAATCATGCAGACATTAAAAAACAATGAACATAAAAGCTGTCAGTTATATTTGTGTTAAAATCTTTCTCTTAATCTCTTTCCCCGTGGGATGCAGTTTCCGGGACTTGAGCGAAGGTAAGCTCTTTTGATATCAGGCACTTCTGGTGAAATGGTTTGTTTGCCATAAGCGTGACGTGCTTCACTGTTTCCTGTGGTGTGTGTGTGTTTAGGCCTGTTCCCTCAGGATAAGGTGGAGGACGTGTCCACTGATGAAGAAGACTATAGCGAAAACAGACGGAGGAAAAACAGAAAGAAACTAGCAAAAAAAGGTCAGAAAAACAGGAGTTGCAAAGGTTTGCTTTTCGTTTAGTGCTCATCTTATAATGGAGATTTGTTTATCAGCGGAGCAGTGTGGGTGAGTATAAACGTCACGGTGATAACTCTGGAGGAAGCATTGGCACAATTGCGTCAAAGATAAATGTGTGTGTGTAAGTGAAACGATAAGTTTGGACTAGAAAAATGTATGAGATCCAGTGTGTTCTTGTAATAACCGTAAGTTTATGCATAATTACCAACAACTAATCCTATAGCAAGTACATATACAAGTAGGTCACTTCAGAATTAACATTTCTTGATAATTTTCTCTCCTCCACGTCATCCAAGATGTTCATGTCTTTCTTTCTTCAGTGGAAAAGAAATGAAGGTTTTTGAGGAACACACTCCAGGGTTTCTCCATATAGTGTCTTCAATGGGGTCCAACGGGTCGAAGGTCCAGATGTGAGTTTCAGTGCAGCTTCAAAGTCTCGACACGATCCAGCCGAGGAATAAGAGTCTGATCTAGACAAACCAGTGGACATTTTATAAAGAAATGAACATTTATATACTTTTAACCACATATGCTGGTCTTGCACGAGCTGTGATGCGACACACATTACGTGATCAGGGTGAAAGGTCAAGCGTGACGTAGGTGTAAGAACAGACCCAGTGTTTACAAAGCCAACATTCAAAGACTGAGTCAAACGCCTTTACAAAAATAAATTATTAAAAGGTAAAACAACGATGTCGGACGAAATGAGTTGGAGATTTTCGCTCTACTCTACATTTCTGAACCGGAACACGCTTGACCTTTCACCCTGATCACGTAATGTGTGTCGCATCACAGCTAGAGGAAGACCAGCATTAGTGGATTAAAGTATATAAATGTGTATTTTGTTATAAATGTCGGCTGGTTTGTCTAGATCAGACTCTTATTCCTCGGCTGGATCGTGTCGAGACTTTGAAGCTGCACTGAAACTCACATCTGGACCTTCGACCCGTTGGACCCCATTGAAGACACTATATGGAGAAACCCTGGAGTGTGTTCCTCAAAAATCCTTCATTTCTGTTCCACTGAAGAAAGAAAGACATGAACATCTTGGATGACGTGCGGGAGAGTCCATTATCAGAAGATTTTAATTCTGAAGTGAACTACTTTAATGTTGCTCAGTATTGAATAGTTCCTGAAGTGTCGATGGACGATTGATCTCCAACAGGGCAGACGGCGGACACCAACCAGAAAAACAAGAAAGGCAAGAAGAAAAAGAGAAAGAACGGTAGTTTGAAGAGTGTTGAGGGCGAGGCGGATCAGCAGACGCCGGTAGAGTCCACGGACCCGGATCTAACCCAGTCTAACGCTGATCGAGACGGGGAAGACAAGCCTGGCGAGCTGAAGGCCGGAGACGCAGACGTGGACTCTCTCTCAGCCGGTGTGGAGGACCAGCGGGACTCACAGGAGACACCTATTGCCTCGCGGAAAACACTGATCAAGAGGAAGAAGAAGCAGAGGGACCCAGCCGTAGTCGAGCCGGAGCCCAGCGCCAATGGAGACGCCCATCAGGAGCTCCAGGTCCCAGCACTCTCGACGGCTGGCAACATGATGAAGAAGAAGCTGAAGAAGAACCCAGCCGCAGTCGAGCCGGAGCCCAGCGCCAATGGAGACGCCCATCAGGAGCTCCAGGTCCCAGCACTCTCGACGGCTGGCAACATGATGAAGAAGAAGCTGAAGAAGAACCCAGCCGCAGTCGAGCCGGAGCCCAGCGCCAATGGAGACGCCCATCAGGAGCTCCAGGTCCCAGCACTCTCGACGGCTGGCAACATGATGAAGAAGAAGCTGAAGAAAAACCCAGCCGCAGTCGAGCCGGAGCCCAGCGCCAATGGAGACCCTCACCAGGAGCTCCAGGTTCCAGCACTCTCGACGGCTGGCAACATAAAGAAGAAGAAGCAGAAGCAGAAGTCCGGCCCTGCTGAGCAGATCCAACCAGGGAAGAAGAGGAGGGTGAAGGATGAAGATGTGCAGGTGAACGGACAGGCGGGCGAGACCGGCGGCAAGAGACTGAAGCTCACCAGTGTAAGTGTTTCCGGCTCTCTGACGTGTTTACAGGGTTAGTTCACCCAAAAATGAAGATGATGTCATTAATGACTCACCCTCATGTCGTCCCAAGCCCGTCAAAGTAGTCCATGTGACATCAGTGGGTTAGTTAGAGTGTGTTGAAACATCGAAAATACATTTTGGTCCAAAAATAACCAAAACTAGGCCTTTATTCAGCATTGTATTGTCTTCCGGTTCTGTTGTGGATCCGCGTTCAGTGCCGCCGCTGACGTGTGTCTGGTGTGTGTGTCTCTTCCGGTTCTGTTGTGGATCCACAACAGAACCGGAAGACACACACACAGACACACACACACACACCAGACACACGTCAGCAGCGGCACTGAACGCAGATCCACAACAGAACCGGAAGACACACACACAGACACACACACACACCAGACACACGTCAGCAGCGGCACTGAACGTGGATCCACAACAGAACCGGAAGACACACACACAGACACACACACACACCAGACACACGTCAGCAGCGGCACTGAACGCGGATCCACAACAGAACCGGAAGACAATACAATGCTGAATAAAGGCCTAGTTTTGGTTATTTTTGGACCAAAATGTATTTTCGATGTTTCAACACACTCTAACTAACCCACTGATGTCACATGGACTACTTTGACGGGCTTGGGACGACATGAGGGTGAGTCATTAATGACATAATTTTCATTTTGGGTGAACTAACCCTTTAAAGCTTTAAACCCTTTAAAAGTTTCTTAAAGCTGTGTGTACCGCATCTGTGAGTCTCTGACGGGTGTTCCCTCTCGTTAGGAGGCTGGAGAACACCAGCTCAAACCCCGGCAGTTCGTGCTCCGGCAGAAGAAAGCGCCCGCGCCGCTCTTCTGTAAAGCTGCGGGATACATGCTCAGCAAAAAGGTACAAGCCTCCTCTTCCGGCTCACAGATACGAGCTGACGTCAGGACACCAACGTCCATCAAATGCCTTCAAGTCCCCCTGTAGTCATTTCATCCCTAGTGGTGGGAGATATTGACAAAAATGAATATCTCGATATTTTTTTCCAATATCTCGATATCGATATTCAGACGATATTTTTGCAATCCTTTAAAGAAATGTGTGCAAACTGGCCAAGAAGGTCCAGTTGGTCTTTTGACTTGCTGCATTTTACCTATCATTGTATAGAATTACTAGTACATAAAGATATGAGACATTATTGATTTAAACATGAACCAAGTTACTGTACTAAATATTTATTGTAATACAAGAACAGTGTTTTTTCAGTACAATATATGTACGTATTAAATTTACTTTGTGCTTTGCAAATAGGCCGTTCACAAAATTCACGGTTCGATACGATACAGTGATGTACGTTTTCGATACAGCAAAAAGAAAGAAATAACAGATACATTTCCGATTTATTAAAAGAAAAAAAAATTTCTACATCTTGAAACCTTTAGTTTTATAAATGGGGGTCATCTTTAAAGGATGAACAAATAATGTTTTGGTCATCACATTAAAAAGAACTTTTAAATATGATAATATTTGAGTTTTGAAGTGCTGGAAAAAGATGTGTGATGTAGGCCTACCTGAAAGCATTTGACTATTTCTGCCAAACTTCCATGGTTACAGTTAGTGTTACTATATTAAATCCATGGTGAATGTTGCTGGTCTGTGGACGTAGATTTGCCTATAAGTTCATGGCAAAATGTTTCTCCTGGTTTCCACGTTTGATCCGTTAATAACAGAGAAATGTGCATGCTTCTCACTAGATCTCGCAGTGATGTTATTAGTAGGTAGGGCTGCAACAAACGATTATTTTGATAATCGATTAATCTAACGAGTATTAGAACGATTAATCGTCGATTATTTTCGCAGACTAATCAGTAAGTTTGGAACGATTATTCAGCTTTTCCAATTAGTTTAAACATTGAGTTATACATATTCTAACTATAATATAAAAAAAGAAAATCACTTCAGCTTTTGAAATAGTTGTTTTAATGAACTTTGAGCCAACTAAACAGGTCATTCTCTTTAAGTTTTCAGATTTCGGTCCAACTCAAATCACACACAAATGCTCTCTAAGCATTGTTTAATAGGCCCACTGCTTTTCTTAGAACTGAAACAGAAAAAGGGACATTTACTTCAGGACACAAAGAATGGTAAAATATTAATCTGCAAACAATTATTATAAGTATAAAATTACAATCTTTTTTTACATGACAATTGAGCTGACAGAGACGTTCTCATTCACCTTTTAATTTATAGTATGATAAAGTAACTGCCATGATATTCTTCCTATATCATAGGAAGGATATAACATCTCGTTTTGTAAGTCTTCATGATTATTGAACAAAATACAGGCAAGTGATAAGACTATAATAATACCTAATATACTAATAGTGTTACAATAATAAAAACAGCCCTGACTCCTAAGCTCGATCAAGCTTTATTCTATGCAAAATAAGTCATCACATTACTGTAATTATATTACTATTGATAATATTATTACTATTATTAGTAGTATTGCATTCTCTTATAAAGAGAGATTTACCGCTGGTTAGTAAGCTCCAGCTGGAGAACACTCTCCTCTCACCGGCTCCTCTTGTGCCGGGATGTTTCCTCTTGCACTCCAACATGCATGTTGTGCTTTTTCACGGGAGAAAAGCAAGTTCCGCCTTGCATGTATTGCACACGACAGCATTCTTGATTTGAAGTTTTGTGAAACTTTCCCAAACCTTGCTTGTTCGGATTCGTTTGCACTGTCATAATTCGATTATGGATTTTGGTCGGCAGGAAAAAATGGTCCAACGGTTCGGTTTGTATGCGTACCGAACCGAAAGCTACCGAACGGTTCAATACGAATACGTGTACCATTACACCCCTATTTGCAAACAGTACTTCTATTAGACCAACAACAATGTGACTACTTATTTACTAGAAGTTAAAAGAAGCCCTGTTCGGAGGCTATTACGGTGGATCTCGGAAATTGTATTCCATCTTTTGAACTCATCATTACACAACGCAATTTTTAAAAACTTTTTAACTTCAGACTTCAGGGCCCGTATTCCTAAAGAATCTTAATGCAAAAAGTAGCTCCTAGTGACAAAATTCTAAGAAAATTCTTAGAAATGTGGGCGTTTACTCCTAAAATTACCGAAAAAATCTTAGTAAAGAAAAAAGTAATTCAGAGAGTATCTTAACCCTTAAAAGAGGACTTAAGGTCAAAATTGTTAGGAGCACGAACGAGGACTTTTAAGAGGCTTAAGAGTTTCTTTAGCAGAGGAGAAAATGACAGAAAGATGAAGAGGGAGAAGAAAAGTGTTGCAGACAATGGATGACTGCGAGTTAATAAGACTAGATGTGAGATCACTAAGCTATAGATTAGATCGTGCAGGGATCATGTTTGTGACAGATCTTATAGAGACACGCTAACATCTCAGACACAGCGCAGAAATGCCATAGCGCCATAAATTAAAGTAATTACTACATTAAGCTATATGGCAACTGGGAAAATGCAAAAAATGCAGCAGTGATGATTTGGGTCTGTCACAACCTTCTGTAAGCAGAGTGATCACACAAACATTACAGCACTTTCAGAACCTCTTATTGTGTCGCAGTTCATTTCCTTTCCACTGGGGGACCCTATACTTAAAATCTCTCTTTTTTTTCCCCTTCTTGGACAACCAACCAATCAGAGTCTTCAAAAGATTGTGTCATACATAGCAACGGGGTCAGCCCCGCCTCCTCACTAAGATGAAAGTTTTTGTCTTTTCCTTACTCAGAGTTGCTCTCAGATTGGTCCCGAATCACTCTTAAGCTAAAACTCCTACGTAGAAGTTTTTAAGCTAAATTAGGAGTTTTCTGAGAGGATTCTTAGAATCTTTAAGAATACGGGCCCAGTTTTCTGCAAACAACGCATATTTTGCCTTTTCTATCAGCTATTTTATTAACCGTACATCGGCTTTATTCTTTACGTTTTTGGATTGTTGCTTCAACCTAAGAAACGTCATAACACACAGGTAAGAACTCCGTAGTTGTATTGCAAATTAGTAGCGGCTTACTCTCGTGTAATTGAGGAACGATCGTGATTTTGTAAAAAAACAACAACAAAAAAACAAATACAGTCAAACAAACACCTACAGTATTAAAATAGCAACATATAATAGTTTAGAAAGTTATAGTGTGTGTTATTTGTTTTGTCTTTAACTTCCTTCAGCTCTTTTCATGTTTGGGGGGTCGGATTGTACAAATTATGAAATATTCGATATTGCATATCGTCCAGACAACAATTTGGATATTATCATCTAAACGATATATCGCCCACCTCTATTCATCCCTTAACTCATCTTTAATCAGCAAAATGACACATTTAAACGTTTTTTCCTTCATGCCTTTAAATATCTTGAATGTAACTCGACACCCTTGCCTCATTTAGTATGCGCGGTTCTATGAATATGCAAATGAGCCCCGCCTCCACTCACTCCCTCAGCTCAGAGATCCACTGGTTGACGATCACACGTTGATCTGATTGGTTACAAGGTCGTTTGTGACGTCAGAAACACCAGCGATTTCAAACCGTGTTTTTGAGACTGTCTTTGGTTCACTGCAGTTTTAAGGAGGAAATACTCAGCAATGCTGTCGACTTATGAACTTACACATGGTGTGTCTTAAAGCGTATTAAAAACACCACATAGACACATAAAATATTTTTAAATATCTTGGTAATGGAAAAGAAAAGTTGTAATTTCAAGATCTTAAATTTGATGAAGAAAAACCAGGAATTGCGATATGAGTTAATGTGATTTATTAAACTTCATAAGGCGATGATTTAATTAAATGTGAGCGTTTCAAATTAAAACATAGCACTGTTTCACAGCAGTTCTCCATCAGTCAATACTGCGCACGTCTGCCGTTGCTGGATCTACTGTTGATAAATTATGACTATTTTAGGGCTGCAACTAACGATTATTTTGATATTCGATTAATCGGACGATTATTTTTTCGATTAATCGGGTAACAAATTCAATTCGTTTTTTTGTTTATTATGACTAAATAAAACCCGGTTACACTTTATTTTAAGGTGTCCTTGTTACAGTGTAATTATATATTTAAGTACAGAGTAATATTAAGTAACTACATGTACTTACTATAGGAATAGGGTATGATTAGGATGAGGGTTAGTTGCATGTAATTATGCATAATTTACTGTTATTACTACAGTAAGTACATGTACCATATGTAACAAGGACACATCGTAAAATAAAGTGTTACCTAAAACCCTAAATTAGGATATTTATGTGTAAAAGTGTACTTTAAAAAGTGCAAAAGCCACACATTGAGTTTTACAAATATCAATATTTGCATTGTTTTTAATGATAATTACTGATGGCAAGTTGACAACCATGATTAATGTAAAAAAAAAACATTTATATCCAACATATTGTTTTAACACAATTTTTGTTAAAACAAATTTACACAGACATGTTGTTCAGATGTGAAGATATAAACTAAAACATCTCAAATATATAATTCATTTATTATTATCATTTAAGGATAATTTGTAAAAATAAATATAGCAAGACTGAAAACAAGCGTGTAAACATAGAGCCGCAGTAGATCGCGTTTGAAAAACAATTAAAACTTAATAGTAGACAAATGCTATATAAAGAGAACGTAATGGAGGTACGCAGCAAGCTAACAGGCTTGATTAAAAAGACAGGAAAAATGATGCATTAGTGCACAAACATTCACTGAAAACCACTGAGTACAGTGACTAAAAAACTATAATTTACTGCTGCTGTTATTAACTGCCTTTATATTTAGTGCTTCGCTTTGTAAAGACCGTTTTAATTTAATATTTCTGCGGTAGCACTATTTTAATCCATCACTTATGTTGCGAGCGAACTGATTGCACAACC